TTTACCTGGCCCTGCTGAGCATGGGCTGGAATACATTCATCATATGTGTTAAGTGACAACATCCCATAGGAGAGGGAACATATGAAAGTAAGGTCACACAATAAACGCATGAGCATGCATGTGTTACGGGTTTTATCTGCATGGTCCTCAAAGCCTGATGCACTCACAGGTGGGCTTCTGGGATGTGATGGGTGTGATGCTCAACAGTGGGTTGGTCCACTGATGAGTTTATAGCTAACTGTGTTGTCTGAGGTGAAGTCTGGTCAAAGGAGATGACCCATTAGGAGCATGGTCTGGAAGGGTACATACCCTTTCTCCCTTTGCAGGCAGGCAATCAGAAATGAATGGTAGAGCCCATCTGACCTGCTTTTCCTTCTATAGGTGGCCAAGGGCAGCTGACCTATGTCCACTGCTTTTATCTGATGCTAAGTTGGCCAAAGCGTGAGAGGGCCTCAACCAACTCAAAGGGGACCCTAAGTGGAGAGGTCATCACAAACGAACCACAAAGCCTAACTAGGGACATTCCTCCCGATGAGGTACGTGCACTGACTGACCTGGGTGTCCTTCAGCTGATCTAACCTCATTATCTTATGCTTAACTCATCATCCACATATACTACAGCTCATGAATGCAAGTACCTGTTGGGAATGATGGAAAAACCCATGTGCAACTCAAAATTAAAAATAGGGCAGAGTAACTCATCAGTACACAGGAGTAGGGGGTCAAACACCCTAGAACAGGATGGATGGTAAATAAAAGAAACCAGAACAAAAGAACTCCTCATCCCTCACATACTGGTGGCACGCTGGCTTGTCTGTTACCTGTGTCTTACTGCTCAGGAACCCTCTGGCTTGGAAACCACTTGCTCGCATGCGGTAATCTAATGTTACAGACTACAGGATACAGGGAATGCTCCAATTGCCCATAGGCTAATTAGATTTGAAAGGAATCTGTGACCCTACCAAAACCAGCCAACAAACCAAGGAACATATATTAAAATGTTCTAAAAATGCTAAAACATAAAAATAAAAGTTCTTTGGACAAGAAAGAACAAGTCTTAAAAATCTAAAATGTGTAATGCAAAGCAAAATCAAGGTAAAATAAATCCAGACATCATTGAACTAAAATAAACCTAAAATATAAGTTGTGACCTATTTTAAAGCAAAAGGAATCTGATGAATGACAAAGAATACCCCTTAAAACAATAAACCAGATGAATTCTCCAAGAGAGTTTGTTTCACAGCAGGAATTAATCCATGTTAAGGAAATTCAGCAGTACAAATAAGACTCCCACCCAAGATGTGAGAGGGACAGGTAGCAACTTCAGCAAATTTAGAAAAATAAAATAAAATAAAACAACAGAAAAAAGAAATTTCTCTTTTTGGAGTTAAATAACAGCAAAATTTTAGATTAATCAGTTGAAAATTTAGTATATTATTAGTAACAAAAATATTACATTATTTTTAAAAGTTTGAGTCCTGAAAGCTTGAAGTTAATTATCTAAATTTAATAGAAAAATATAGGGAAGAGAACATTAAATCAAATGAAGTGTGGATCACAGCAATTTTTCAGTAATAACACAGGTGCATTTAACATTTGCAAAAATTTACAAAATATGATATGCAAAGAGATTTAATTTGAATATTGATACAAATTTAAATTACTACAGTTTTATGAGAATACATAATGTACATTATGGTAATATATTATAAAGTGCAAAAGCACAGAAAGCAAAAAGGACCTGTAATTCAGATAGTTACTGACTTGAAAATATGACTGCCTTGCTGTATACTTAGTGGTCTTTAGCTCTATTTTCCATAAAGAAAATTGTCAGTTACTGAGAAATGCCAGCTTTTAGTTCTTTTATTGTAAAATAAAAGCAAATCAAATTATTGAAAATAATTATTACATACAATATAATAAAAATTATCATCTTTAGAACATTTGTAACTCAAAAGATTTTAAATAGAATTTAACTGAGAAGTAACAAAAAAGATTGCAGTTTCCTAGTAACTTTGACAGTCATTGAAAGTGACAAAAAGGTAGATATAAAATGCATATATTTTAGTACAATTAGAAATATTAATTTTCTATGTAGCCTCTAAATGCTACTTTCAAACTCATATATCAGTGTGTCCCAATCCATTACAAACTTAATAAGAGTCTAAGCTAAAAGGTATAAAAAGTCAAAACATCTTAATAAGTTCTTATTAATGTATTTACAGCAATATTACTATTAGAATAAATAGTGGAAAGCGTATATTGTACTCATAATATTAATGTTGCACAGTACAACAGCCAGCATTAGCAATACAATAATAAGAAAAGTAATTTGCATACCTACTGACCTGAGAAATTAAATTCTAGAAAGGGATGCTAAGATGTACTAACATGCATGCACAAACATATATATTTAAGGGTTTTCCCAATGTTTTTAAATTTTAGAGAAATCAGAAATAGTTTTAACATTCAAAGAGAAGCAAAAGCTTACCTAAACAGAATGAACCTATTCAAAAGAATGCAGGCAGATATTGAAAATTATCTTGTGAAATAATGTTTAGTAATACAGAAAATAGAGGCACACCTATCAGAAAATCCTTTGTAAAATACATACATACATGCACCTGATATATACATGCATGAGTTTTACTTTAAAAAGTCTATCAACAGCGTTTGTTATCTTCTCACAGAACACGTCCCAGCTACCCATCCATACACTCAGTTGGCCTCCCTTGCTTATATGTACACAAGCTTGCCTTCCTCACATAAGCACTGAGCTTCATGAAACTTACTTCTCTGGAAATTACTTCTCTAACATACATTAGTGAAATCTCTCCCAAGTTAAACGGAACTATTGTTGATGCTGTTGATCTACATCCATGTACTACACGGAAATATTTATGGGATGAGCACTCACACTATGGAAGCTGGGAGGTCATAAAAATACTTCCACAGGAATCTTCAGACAGGAGTAACTACAAGAAAGCTAGAGTGGCTAAACTAATATGAGAAAGAAAAAATGCAAACTTAAAATTAAAAATGGTAGCAGAAATTGAGGAAAATTTTATACGGATGAATGGGTCAATCCACTTATTACACATAACAAGCTAATCATGTGTGCACCTAACAATACTACATCAAAATATATGATGTAAAACCTGATGCAAATGAATCGAGAAAGAGGCAATTCCACAATAGGAGTTATAGACTTCTTTATCACACTGTGAGTAGTAAGTACAATGATTCCAGAGTAAATAAACATACTGGAGAATATAAAACTTCTACCCACAAAATTTGCTTAGTTTTGTTTGTTTTGCAGTACTAGGGATTGAACTCCAGACCTTGCGCTTGCCAAGGTCCTGAGATATTCTACTGAGCTATCCCTCCAGTCACTTAACTGATTTTAATAGAATATTCCACCCAACAACTGAATATAATTTCTTCTCAACAATGTGAGACAATTCTCTCAAAATATATGATTAAGCAATGTTATAAAATAAGTCTCAAATTTTTAAAAGATCTAAAAAAATAATGTCAAGTAATTATGTCATGTGACCATGGAAAAATTAAAAATGTGAAGAAAAATTAGTAAAATCTAACTTGCTTGGAAATTAAATATTTGTTTAAAGCTTCTCAAAAGATAAAATTACTAAAACTTGAAAAGATATAGAAAATTTAATAGATCTTCAATAGGAGAAGAAATGGAATTTGTAACTGAAAGCAT